TCCATCTTAAGTATACGACGCGTTTGGAATGTATGTATAAAATGAAATTAAGAATGCAATACTTTACAGGAGTTAGAAATTCTGGTCTGGACTTGGACCAGTCGGCATCGTCAGAAATTACGATACACTAAACAGAAATTGCTCGAAATATTGAGAACATGTTACATTTTGAATATAACTCGTTTGTAATTACAATTAGAGAAAAACATTAGAACTCCATCCTCGAGTATTTACAGATGCAAATGCTCCAGCATACAGTATGAATAGCGTGACAAAGAAAAAAGGTCGCTAGTTCTGATCAGACACAGGATTGATCCGTTGCAAAGAAGAAAATACCAGAACTCGTGGTTACGAAAGCAGAGATTAGAACCACATGTTTTGCATATACAAAGAAAAAAATAAATTTTCGATTGTTTATAGACTGAAAGTCTGCTTATCTTGAAGGTGATTTCAAAACAGATTAACGCCCTTACAAGAAAAGAATACAAGAGATTGACAGAATACGGAAATATTGCTCGACATACTGAAATCAAAAGTCATTTGATCTCTTAGTTTAAACTTGATTCATTATATATCATTTAAAATCTTAGTTTGTATTGCACCTTAGATAAAAAATAATGAAGCTTTCCTGAAACCTTTTCATTTATCATACATCTATTATCATGTCTCTTCTTTTTCATTTGTCAGACATTCCCCTGTAATAATTTTCTTGAAAGTGGTGTACTGGTGTCAAAAAACCCTTGGTAGGCCGCCAGCTTCAGTTACGTTGTACCTCAATGAATATAGATATATTTTGTTCAGATTTTAAAATAAAAATGCAAGCATTTTTTGCAATTTTTCAGTTTGTAAATGAAGTGATAGTCTTAAAGACCTTTGAAAATACGACTAAATTGTAGCATATTATCCAAGACTATCCCAAAGGTGACTGGATTATACAAACTTGGTCACCTTTTCTTATTCTGACCTGCAGGTAAACTCTAGTGGTGTAAGTTTTGCTGTGCCGGATTTATAAATTCTCATCAATGTCCGTCGAGAAAAGAGACATTTAATTCGATAATTAAAGAAAGTGTTACATTCTCCGCACGTATAACAATCATTGCAACCAGCTTTTGAGGAGTTATCAGGTTGCTGGTCGAAAGTCAAATGTTCCGTTCCGATCCAAGATAGATTTCCAATGGTTTCCAGAAAATTAGTTCTAATACCCCGCGTTTCATCTTTATTACTCCCCTTTGCATGGTATCTGTGTGTATTGTTGAAATTACAGTTAATTAGTTTACAGTTTTTTGTCCTAAATATGGCGGAGATAATAGGATTTTGACGTTAAGCAAGAAGCAAGACAAAAGCTTTGAATTGGTTAAGTACATTAATTGTGCATCTGAGTATAGTAAGAAATATTAATTTTGTTTTTGTTTATCTAAAACATAACTAAACATATTTTCCTATTCATATGCTGGGCCTAATTGCATGATATTCTGTTACAAGTTTAAGAAAGATATAAATGTGTTAAATCTGTATGAGAAGAAATAAAATGCTTAAGTTCAACAATATATCATGTTGATTATTATACATATCTTCTCAAGAGAAGGACAGTGAAAAGCATTATAAACATGTTAAACTGGAAAGGTAACAAAGCATTTTAAAGTATGAAACCGAATAAACGAATGACGACATATAATAATTATTAAGCTAAAGTGATGGTATCATAATTTCAAGATTTAGGAAAGGATCATTATAAAATATTCCGATTCTTTTTTGCATGGAAATACACATTTCGTACGTCTCTAGTACGTTTTCGGGGTTTGCCTTTCTTCAGGAACGCTCTATCACTAAACACTTGTAAGCGAGTCATGTATAAAAATATGAAATGGTTAGGAGCTAAATGACAATATGTAAAGGACTAAAAAACAGAATAACAAAGTTCTGCTAAGGTTAAATTATCTTGAGGGACTTGTAACCATAGTTTCTTAAAAGAATTCTGTATTTGTCAACTGCATATTGTTTTAGAAAAGTACGGTATAATCATAAATCATCAATGACAAACTGTAAAGGACTTAATAATTACTTATATGATCGTCTAATTTACCTCGTTTATGAATATCATACTTTGAGCTTTTTCAGTAAATCAATAAACAAATATAAGGTAGATAAAATAACTTAACGCAGCAATCCGCGAACTTTGTATACCATTTTAAAGGAGATTGGTTTTTAATTGTCTCCTGATATAAGTGATGTTAGACGATGTATAGTATAGATTGAAAATTAAATTATTACATTTTATTGAAAATCAATAGCATTTCCTGATAATTGACTTTGGTACATGCCTCACTGTGACTTTGAGATGAAGAACAGCAATAAAAGCGCTGTTCCTTTGCTTTTAGTGTGTGTTTTTTTCTTTTTTTTTATGTGTGCATGTACTGATTTTGTGTCATGGATGGATACCCCATATCCTTTGTTTTTCTATTCTTAGATAAAACATAAAATGTGCAACCATACATAAGAAATCATTTATAAAGAATAACCAAGGTTATGTAATTCAGGCATACCTGTACAATTCCAATAGTTCTCGCATGGCATATTTGTGGTTGTAGGTTCCGAAATGCACGGGTTATTTGCACATGTCTTAGCGTTATCCTCATCATCAAATTCACGCGGTGCAGACGCTGACGGACTCTGTTGCAATTCAACCATGATATTGGTTGACTCTTTGAGCTGCTGTTTTTTCTCCATCTTCTTTTGAATTTAGAATGTTTTTGACTTCTGTAATGTCATCGTCTACGACTTTTTTTTAGAGAAGTGTGTTCCTGTTGTGTTTCCATAGTGTCTGGATGATCGGAAAAAAATATTATAATAAGCCCCGATCATTCCATAGATTCAAATATACATTTCATACTATTATAAAAAAAGAAGAAAATACAAACAGTATGAAATGTAATAATGGATAATTATTTACATCATATGACATAATTGTCATTATTTAATTAAACGAAAATAAACACCTGAACTTAACAAAAAGTTTGATAATATACGAACCATTTAAAAGAAATTTGTTCCTAAATTGCTATCTGATACACGTGAAGTAATTCTGTAACACAACGTAGGATTGATTGCAAATTAACATATTGCATACTATTAACAAAAACATCATATTGTAACAAATAATCTGGCCTTTGAATTTCACGCATGTCTATCCAGACATAAATTCAACGTACAACCGTAAAATATCATTTATTAAGAACAACCTACACAGCCAAATTTTGCTCACGTGAATTTCACGTGAATCTCATTTCACGTGAATTTCACATGAATTTCACATGAATTTCACGTTAATTTCACGTGAAGTGATTTCATGTGAAATTCACGTTAAATTTTCACGTGAAATTATTTCACGTGAATTTCACGTAAAACATTTCATGTGAATTTCACGTGAAAAAATATAAATGGTGTCTAAGTTAAAATGAAAAACCGAAAATCAAACATTTTGTCAACCTCTAATATCTTGTATTATATGTATCATATATTCCATGGAAATCTTAATTTAATTTGAAAAATTCTATTTTCACGTGAAATTCACGTGAATATTTCACGTTAAATTCATGTGAATATTTCATGATATATTCACATGAAAAATTTCACGTTAAATTCACGTGAACAATATCACATGAAATTAACATGAATCAAAACTCATGTGAAAATGCTATGTTTCATTTTATCTGAATTAAACCATGAATTCATAAGAGAAATTTAACTTTATTGAGTTAAATTTTTGTAACATGAGAAACAAATTCACCTGAATTTTGCTATTATTCATTCCAATTTTCTTTTTGCAAAATTGAATCATTTCAAAACTGTTATTCTTTGTCTCTCAAGATTTACACATTTGGACATACAATCATTGTAAATGATAAATATTTATCTTTTTGTTAAGCATGAATTATCTCCCTTGATAGTGGGTTAGATGCAACTACAAAAACATGTTGGTTTTGAATTATATTTTCTATCACTGTTTATATTTATCTCTAGTAGAGTCATTAGGATGGAATTTTGTATACATGTGTATCTCTTATTTCAAATTCCTAGATGCCTATATTATATTGATAGACTAATTGATTTACTAGTAATATTTCTATAATTATTAAGTAGTAAATTTAATTACTTTCACACATCTTATGTCTTCTTTACTTTTATACTTTTAAAAAATGTGGGAGGTAACTCCAACTTATGAAATAGATTACTGTTACTGTAATAGATTCTTTACTTCCCATTATTGCAAAGAAAAAAAGGATAATATATATCATATATATATCATTAACTTCCAAACATGAGTTATCTCCCTTTTTTACTGTGCATAAAACTTTTCCTCAAACTTATAAGTCAAGAAAATTTGTGAGCATTGAATCGCACATAAGTTTAACATTAGGACATATATGAATAAAAACTAGTAAGAATACAGAAAAGAATTTTATATGTACTAAATTTTGTCAATAAATGTAAATTTGAATGTTTATCAATTTTTTAAGTATATTGAAAGTGCAGTATAAAATTTTTTGTATTGCTTTTTATAACATGACATCTATACAAGAAGCAAATTTTGTTTATAATCTTTGAAATTGAAAGATTGCATGATCAATTGTTGCACTGGGACACATTTTAAAATTACAAAACAATTTTACGTCCCTGTATTCTTAGATTAATGTTTTTATTCAGAAAAAATGAATGGTTACATCAAGGAATTGTATATTTAAATATACAATTCCTTGGTTACATTTACACTTTATTATTAAAAAAAACTTACATTCTTTAAGCTTTAATAAATGTGTGGTAAATGATTGCCAATTAGACAAGGCTTGCTCATTGAATTAAGGTTAAACATTTTACTTTTGTATAGATATATATATATATATTCTTTTACACAATGAAATCACAGTCATAATTGAAATTATATTTATTATATTTTATCTGGGACTATTATACTAAGTTAGTATAATAGTCCAAGATTTTATAAATATATATATTAAATAGTTGTAAGGGTTTAATTAACTAACAGCTCCATGTGGAGGTGCTCCTATGTAAAGGATGCTTATTAACAAAATAATTTGTTATATGTTCCAAGGATTTGTATAGTAGGAATGGGGGAACTAGCAGGTACCTATTTTTCACTTTTGACATGGAGAAATACTTTGAACATCAGATCAGGACAATATCCGTGAATCTCTCGTCCGGAGTCGGGTTTTTTAAAACGCTTGAAAGATACAGATTATGACGCGTCTTAAAGAGAAGAACGCCGTCAGCCGATTGTCAACAACAGTACTTGTTTCAGTTAATTTAACAAGACAAACAATACCAAGGAGCTATGAGTCAATGAATACTCGAGGATGTACTACAGGTAACTCAAACAAATGATTTAATAGTGCAGGAATAAACAGAAATCTGCAATGACTGAATGAGATTTTGAGAATGGTTTTCATCTTCGATTTTGGTATCGTTTTCGTTCGCTCCCAAATAATTTTTATACACGTTCGCCCCATAGGACCTAACGCATCTAATTTCAAATTCCAGTTGAATTGTAAGTTATTTTATTATTTGTAGGCCTATACAGTAACGTAGCTTGCATTCTGTTATTCACGAAGTCAAGGGGTCTTAAGCTATCGATTTTTTTTAACAATTTGAACAAACTAAAGTTAAACTACCAACTTATTAGTTCATTACCTGCTTATAATTTTTCAATGTTCATATGGATACTTAAATCTTTTAAGACGCATTCATGATTTAGTTTCTCATATCGAATTCTTTAAGTGTCGCAACTTCCCAGATAATGGCAGATTAAAAAATATTTATGAATAATGGAGATGGATATCTCAAATTCTGACTGAGTCTTATACAGTATAAATTTGTCACTTCTTTTTTTATTTGTGTATGATTCAAATCATACGTATTACTATCTTATCTATGATTAACTCAAAAGTTATATAGATAACAAACACTTGGCTGACTTACAGTTATCACATACATGACACAAGACAATCACTGACAAGTTTCCTGACTTGCTAGCACTAGCAGTAACTGAAAGCCAGATCAAATACAATGTACCTAATCTGTTGTACAAAATGTACACTCTAATACTGGTCACGTGGCTGTACCTCACTTTGACATTAGATTTAACGTCATATCAGAAGCAACACAATTGACTTGAATTGTGTCATTTTTTTTTATTCCAGCATATTTAGATTACAGAAAACTACAAATGGTATGAATCAATAATGACAACAAAACGATACAGTATAAAAAAGAAGATGTGGAATGATTGCCAATGAGAATGCTACAGGTCAATGAATACTCGAGGATGTACTACAGGTAACTCAAACAAATGATTTAATAGTGCAGGAATAAACAGAAATCTGCAATGACTGAATGAGAATGGTTTTCATCTTCGATTTTGGTATCGTTTTCGTTCGCTCCCAAATAATTTTTATACACGTTCGCCCCATCATGCCCATAGGACCTAACGCATCTAATTTCAAATTCCAGTTGAATTGTAAGTTATTTTATTATTTGTATACAGTAACGTAGCTTGCATTCTGTTATTCACGAAGTCAAGGGGTCTTAAGCTATCGATTTTTTTTAACAATTTGAACAAACTAAAGTTAAACTACCAACTTATTAGTTCATTACCTGCTTATAATTTTTCAATGTTCATATGGATACTTACATGTAAATCTTTTAAGACGCATTCATGATTTAGTTTCTCATATCGAATTCTTTAAGTGTCGCAACTTCCCAGATAATGGCAGATTAAAAAATATTTATGAATAATGGAGATGGATATCTCAAATTCTGACTGAGTCTTATACAGTATGAATTTGTCACTTCTTTTTTTATTTGTGTATGATTCAAATCATACGTATTACTATCTTATCTATGATTAACTCAAAAGTTATATAGATAACAAACACTTGGCTGACTTACAGTTATCACATACATGACACAAGACAATCACTGACAAGTTTCCTGACTTGCTAGCACTAGCAGTAACTGAAAGCCAGATCAAATACAATGTACCTAATCTGTTGTACAAAATGTACACTCTAATACTGGTCACGTGGCTGTACCTCACTTTGACATTAGATTTAACGTCATATCAGAAGCAACACAATTGACTTGAATTGTGTCATTTTTTTTTATTCCAGCATATTTAGATTACAGAAAACTACAAATGGTATGAATCAATAATGACAACAAAACGATACAGTATAAAAAAGAAGATGTGGAATGATTGCCAATGAGAATGCTACAGGTCACTGTACAGCATGGCCAACTATTATCCTCAGTGTAAGCCAGTACAAGTTATCGCGCATGATTTTAATTTCTTATCCGTCTGATCAGTCTTTTCTGTGTGTGATATTTTATCAAGACAACATGCTGAGTTTGTAAAGACAATGTTGACACTCGTTAATAATTTGACAACACTTAGTAAACAATATTATAACCATATGACATTGTAGCATGCTAGGTTCCGCATGAATACGAGTTGTATAAACTGACTTTATTTCCAAAAGATAAAATTCGATTTTACCGAATATCAAACATACAAAATAAAAAGTCGAAAAAGGACAAATACGAGATTATGATAACCAAACATATATACATGTATATATATCTATCATTAAATCGTTGGCTTGTTATAGTTTATAAAAGCACTTACATAAAATTAAAATTGTTCTTTAACAATTTCAAAAGCAAGAGGGTTGTAATTGTGAGGTTATATTATATTAGATATAATATTCTTGATTTCAGTAACATCATTTTTAGAGAAGTATGCAATGAGTTGACAATCAAAATATGGATAGATGTAATTCATGTAATAACAAAATACATAATCGAAAAATGATTCACTATAGTCATCAATAGAAATGTTCACACGATGTTGTTCGAATTTGATATATCTTAAACCTTTCTTTCGACGTAAATCCGAATATGAGACAACGTAGATTTTTATCTTGTTTTACATAAAGAAAGTCCCACAGAAAAAGTGTATACAATAATGTTCAGAGTATAATATAAAAAAAAAAGGGGGGGGGGGAGTACCCTGCCCAGATAATAATATAACTGATATGTAAAGGAAAGTTTTAACCACAGATTTGAACTTGACAATTTTATCTGAAATTCACACCAGGTGACCAAATACATGTTGCAATTTGTGAACTTCACACGGATATCTTTAGAAAACATGCTAATCGAAACAACAGGGGTCGCAGGCATCTGTTTTCAAGTATAATTCTGAATTTTAACGATTCCAATTATCTTATTCATTTGATAAATTAAAAATTTCAAATTCTGCAAATACATGTACAATATACATTTTTTTTTTTTATAAATTTTGTAAATGTAAGAAGATGTGGTATGAGTGCCAATGAGACAGCTCTCCGTAAACTTTACATTAACAGAAAAATAATTAAAATAAGTTTCCTTTTTAATAAATATTTTACATAAATGTTCAATTGCAAAATTAAAATTTTTTTCATGATAGAATCTTTTGAAAGGACGGAGACAAATTAAAAATAATATTTATTTTGTTCAATGCGATTTATTTTTCTAAAAGTTAAGTGTATAAAAGGAGAATGTGCATCAAACAAGCAATAGACTAGTAAATTCACATGTACATGTATGTATCTAAAATTTTGTTTCTTAAACTGTTAAAATATTTTAGTTCAATTTATTTCAATTTTAAGCGATTGCCGTTTTGTAATCTTTAAATTAGCATTACTATATACAAATATTTTCGTATATAGTCCACACTGGCACATATGCTGCCCTTGTCTTATTCTTTTAAGACTTTGGCAATTGGTTTATCTTGGAGAATTTTTTTTTTTTTCTCATTTGAAACTTTTGTGCATTGAAATTTACAATTTATAAAATAAACTTGAAAAGAAAGAGGCTATTAAACATTGTTAAACCGTCAAAGAAAAAAAAACACAAACAACTCATGTCTACTGAGAATAACAGAAGTTATCACATTGTCATGTGTTAATTATTTATCCATGAATACTATATTTACCTGGTTTGACTTAGATTATTTCTGGTCAACTTCAAAAAATGATCGCATCTCGATTTTTGAATAAAAAATGCCTTGATTCAAAAAAAATTGTAAAATATGAAATTTATATCGTTGGATAGATTTAAAACCAGAGAATAAATATACATGCGAATGAAGCTGTTTCTAATAAAGATTTTATGTCAATTCATTAAAGAAAACCCATGTGCACCAGTGATCTGGAAGGATTTTTTCTCTATGGGCCCAGGGCCCCCCAAAAATAAAATCAATGGGCCATTTTTAGAATAAATGGGCCATGTTGTCAAATGAGTGGGACATTCGTTTACAATAAAAAAAAAATAAAAAAAGTGTATATTTCACTGTACTTACAAGTATGATTCTAATTAATATCATGGATATTGTTCCTGTGGTTTTGTAATTTCAATTTCAATGAATATACAATAACTTCTTCCAAACCGGGCAATATTTACGATAACCTTTATTTACAATGTTAAAACTGGTACTGTTGGAATAGGATCCCAGTTATGGCAACCAGTCCGGTACCCACGAATGTAGTTCTTAAAAAAAATATATAACTTTTATTTAAAATGGTGTAGTTTTATTATTACACAAGTTCTGTAACTGAATGTAGATTTATTTGTATGGGTAGGCTTTCTAGCTTGAATTTCTGTAAAAATTTTGAATGATTTAAATGTAATCTGGCGTCGATACATAGAGTAAATTGCCTAAATTCTAGCCTTTATTCTTCCCCGGAAGTAGACCGACCTACCCTGTTGTCAATCAAAACAAAATTGTGCAACGGAATGCCGGTCATGAGGCACTGAGATTGCACTTAGAAACTTCGAAACAAATGCCTAACGTGAAACAAAAGTCCCAAGGTGGCTATCAAAATTATTTATTGGACAGCACCCCATTTATTTACTAAGATTTTCAATGCGTTTCAATGGGGGAAATAACTGGGTCCCCGTTCCTGTTCCCTTGTTCATGTTCATGTTTTTTTTTACATTAAATTTGGGTCTTCGTCGATACCATACTTATTCCAGACGTTCCGTATTAGAGGACATTTCTGGCATTTCCTCTGCACTTGTATTATTATTACTTCATCACGATGACAAGAATAACAGTAGAGAGCAACGTTAATTGATAAGACATAACAACAATTTGCTGAAGGCATGTTTACAAAATGTCAAAACGAGCCAAAGACCAAAAAAATTGTCAAGGACAGTTAAGCCCCTTTTATGGAGACAAATACTATACTATTCATAAAAAGGTTTTTGGGTTTTTCAATCGAAATAATAGCAAGCTTACTTAAAAGATTATAATTAGAGACGAATTCTCGCCTGTACTAGCCAATTTTCACAAATTTAAAGTTGTATATGAAAAATTATATCATGAATGATGGTTAATTACGTTTTTTGGGTAATCAGTCATACCGCATGTTGCTATTATTACCATAGGAAAACACCCGAGACGTCCTTCCCGATCACTGAGTGCACACATTTTTGGTTTCGTATTGTATGAAGTACAATGTAATAGGTCGTGCACCCGGTGTTCTTTAATTGAAAAAGGCCCTAACTTCTGCAATCCTTATCAAAATACAAATTAGATCTGTAGAAAGCTTATAAATTGAACTTTCAAAATTGATGCCAATGAAAAAGAAATTTAATGATATTTACAGACAGCTAATCAAAATTTAAGATTTCCTTTAACAATCTATAGTAAATTTATCGATATTGATTGTGGTCAAATTTGACGCATGCGCAAAGCGGGTGCTGATAATAGTTGCGTATGGCCTTCAACAATGAGCAAAGCCCATACCACAAACCCAGCTATAAAAGGCACCAAAATCACAAATGTAAAACATTCAAACAAGAAAACTAATGGCATAATTGATGTATAAAAAATGAACGCTAAAAACAAATATATATGTAACAAAGCAACAAAGGACAACCACTGAATTAATATTACAGGCTCCTGACTTGGGACCGGCACATATATACAGAATGTGGCGGGGTTAAACATGTTAGGGGAATCCAAACCCTCGCCCTTATATATAGAATAGATAGAATATTTTTATTCACCAAATTAGGGCCCCAGAAGGGCATATAGCAAACAAACAATATTATTATAAACAATAATATTTAGATATGTATACATTATGACAAGTTCACAGATCAAGTTCAATATATATTCTGTTCAGAAAAAATAACTTAAGTTGTTTTAATTTTGCAGAGCTACATTCACGCAAACAATCAGTTTTTCACTTTCATTTTTATACAACCGCAAAAAATTAAAAAATTTTGCGGTCGTATATTGGTATGAAGTTGGCGTCGTCGTCTTCGTCCGAAGACACATTGGTTTTCGCACAATAACTTTAGTTCAAGTGAATGGATCTCTATGAAATTTTACCATAAGGTTTGATACCACAAAAGGAAGGTTGGGATTGATTTTGGGGGTTATGGTACCAACAGTTAAGGAATTAGGGGCCAAAAATAAGCATTTTTGTAACTTCCAGACAATAACTTGTGTGTTAGTGTATGGATCTCTCTGACATTGTACCACAAGGTTCCATATCACAAAGGGAATGCTAGGATTGATTTTGGGGGTAATTGCCTCAAAATTTTAGGCGAGTCCCCTGGGGTCACCCCCACCCCCTTCTTTTTGAAAACTTGTAAAGGGTCAAGATCTCCACCCCGAAACCATATATATTCTTGTATGGGACAATAAAACAAATCAAATGAAATCCATGGGGGTATAAGGCGAGTCCCTTTGGGTCACCCCCACCCCCCTCCTGTTTAAGAACTTGTAAACGGTCGAGCTTTTCATTATTAATAAGATAATACCACATTGAGGTCCAAAGGGTCCTAAATTAAACTTTTGTTTAATTTCATCAAAAATTGAATTCTTTGGTTCTTTGATATGCTGATTCTAACAATGTTTGAGTGTTAAATCATATCTAATTTTAGAGAACTTATATTAATTAGTCATCACTGGTTGTTGTTATTATATTATTGATTATAATTTGAAAAAATGCATCATATCTTATTTTAGAGAACTATTTATCCAGTTTGAGTTATTTCCATTTGCACAGAAAATATTATGGATAAAATTAACCTGTGTTTCATTTCAACATAAATTAAATATATATATAGGGTTCTTTCAAATGCTGAATTTAAACTCTATTTAGATATTAGATTTTTAGGCCCAGTTTTCAAGTTGGTCCAAATCAGGGTCCAAAGGGTCCTAGATTAAACTTTTGTCTGATTTCATCAAAAATTTAATTCTTGGGGTTCTTTGATATGCTGATTCTAATATGTACTTAGATTTTGGATATTGGACCATAATAGGTATTTAAATGTCCAATTTCAAATATATCAGTTCTTTGACTACATTCATTTTGTGTCACAAACCTATGATGTGTCAAATATTCAATCACAATCCAAATTCAGAGCTGTTTTAAGTTTAAATGTAGTGTCCATACTTGCTCAACTGTTCAGGGTTTGACCTCTGCAGGAAAATCCGGTTTGCTGTCTCTCTGACAGCCTCTTGTTCAAATTAGTCTACATTAGGGTCCAAAGGGTCCAAAATGAAACTTAGTTTGATTTTAACAAAAATTGAATTCTTGGGGTTCTTTGATATGCTGAATCTAACTGTGTATGTATTTAGATTTTAGATATTGGACCATAATAGGTAAATTAAAAAAATTTAAGTTCTTTGACCACATTCATTCTGTGTCAGAAACCTATGCTGTGTCAAATATTTAATCCAAATTCAGAGCTGTATCAAGCTTGAATGTTGTGTCCATACTTGCCCCAACTGTTCAGGGTTCGACCTCTGCGGTCGTATCAAGCTGCGCCCAGCAGAGCATTTTATTGTTATATATGCTTGAAGATATTGATCTGATAATTTTCATGATTATTGTATACATGTAGTTTTACCATGACAAGTTGCGTATCAAGTTCAAATTTTGTTTCAGTTCAGATGATTTTTTTTTATCATGTTTATAGCAGAAACTGTTTAGGACAAATGTAGGAATTATGGTCCAAAACAAGCATTTTTCATGTTTCATGGCAATAAATTGTGTATAAGTGTAGGATAACTATAAAATTGTACTACTTAATAGGTCATTTGTAGGTTCCATACCTCAAAAGAAGGTTTGGATTAATTTTTGGGGTAACAGACTAAACCATGTAAACCATTTAATAATTTGGGGCCAAAAAAAAAGAAGGATTTTCTGGTTTCCAAACATTTAAGTCTTGAATAATATACATTGTACATCATTTGTATATGTTCATACACCTGAACTAATATATAGATAAAAGAAGATATGGTATAATTTCCCTTCACCCAAGATTAAATGACATACATGTAGAAGTTAACATAAACTACAGGTCACAGTTCATCCTTCAACAATGAGCAAATTCCATACAGTCTAAGGGGAAATTGTAAACAATCAATTTCAAATGGTTACAACTTGAAAACTAATTTAATAATGACAAGGGGTCTTCAGTTACTGTTGTAAGACTACAATGGGATGACCTACTTTTAGTTTAAACTACTGGACCAAATTTAATAAAATCATTAAAAGGGTATCTAATACTATATTATATATTAATTATGATTTTCAAAACAACAGTGGATACAGGTGAGTGACACAGGCTCTTGAGAGCCTCTAGTTGATATTTGATGGTACAATTCTAAGTTTAATATAAATACATATAGCAAGAAATACATGTATATTATAAGCTAATTGTTTGCAAAACTCTTTGAATAGTATTGCGTCCACAAATGTACTGTTTTCTCCCTTTCAGCAGTATTACAAGGTATGGGCAGAGGAGTTGACTATTGATAATGACTGATACTGGAATTAATGAAGTAACCTACATGTAGTGTCCAATCTCTATGTGGAGTTTGCCTATCAGACAGTCCATTTTTACATGTACCAAAAAATGTACGTTGACAGCCAATGCTAAGTATTAATCTTAAACATATATTCAATGATTGTATGTGCATCTCTGATACATATATTTCGCTGTTGTGTGGCTTTATTTCTGATCAGAGACTGATAAAAATCAGATTATCCTTTATTTTAAGTTCAAATATTATGTACTAGTAACTACATGTACTCAATGTCTCGCATTCATTTAACTAATAATGATGATGCAGCATCCAACAAAAAGTATATCTTTTTGACCTTCATTTTATGCCTCACTGATTGTGTATATGTATGAATTCTGTCAGATTGTGGTACTTAAAACAAGTTTTGAGTGTTTTGCACATATACTTTGTCATTGGACTTTAAATAAATTTGATTTCTGATAATGGCAGAGTGTTTTGAACATTGCTTCATAGTGATGATCAGATTACCTTTAATCAATATATATACAATGTACATGTATACTGCTACTGTAAAATAAAGTTTCCTAAATATTGCACTAATTTTAAAGTAACAAAATAGTACTGAATATTAAAAGTAGATTTCCAGTACTACATATGTTTGGTACAGAAATAGTACCTATGCAAAAGTAGCTGTGTATATAAATAGAATTTAATTGTTGCAGATTGATAATTTTTAGTAATTTGAAAATAAGGAGATGTGGTAGGATTGCCAATAAGAAAACTATCATGATCAGCCATGGTCAAAATGAAGGGGATGTAAGCAGTTTTAGGCCACTTTAAGACCTTCAACAATGAACATGATAAACAGAACAATACTGTTTACTCAGCTGTTAAAGATCCTGACAAAATGCGCAACAGTTCAATCTAGAAATTTAGTACTTTTCTTTTTACTAGTGATGTTCACTTATTGGTTAAAAGAAAAATTAATTGTTTTCTCTCGGTGAATATTTTTATGCCCCTGCCGTAGCGGTGGGGGCATTAAGTTTTACCCCTGTCCGTCTGTACGTACGTCCCAAAATTGGTTTCCGTTCTCTAACTTGAGTTTGCCTCAACCAAATGTTTTGAAACTTATACAATGCTTATTACCAGAAAACACAGATCAAGTTTGAATTAATTTTGGTGGCGTCACTTTAACCGTTCTAGAGTTATGCCCCTTTATAAATGGAAAAATTGCAAAATTTTTAGTTTCCGTTCTCTAACTTAAGTTTGCCTCAACCAAATGTTATGAAAATTATACACAATTCTTATTACCACAAAACACAGATCAAGTTTGAATTTTGGTGGCGTCACTTTAACCGTTCTAGAGTTATGCCCTTTAGAAATGGAAAAATTGCAAAAGTTTTAGTTTCCGTTCTCTAACTTAAGTTTGCCTCAACCAAATGTTATGAAACTTATACACAACCGTTCTAGAGTTATGCGTGTTTACAAATAGAAAAATTGCTGAATTTTTAGTTTCTGTTTTCTACTTAAGTTAGCCTCAACTGAATGTTATGAGACTTACATACAATGCTTATTACCACAAAACTCAGATCAAGTTCAAATTTGGGTAGCATCACTTTTACCGTTCTTCAGTTATGTCCCTTTAAAACTATATGATATGCAAGCAGGGGCATCATCTGTGTCCTCATGTGGACACTATCAACATTTATTTAAAACAATTGCCTGTGTGAATTTGACATATATCTAAATGAATTTTCAGTGGTATTGCCATTTTTTTATTTGGAAAACAGTTCATCAGCATGATCAGGTTCAGGTCTTATATTTATAATAATCACTGGAATTTAAATTTTCAGAATTAGCTCCCCAGATGTAAGTGGTAGTGAAGTTATACATGTTATATGTTTCGATGAAATGAATGCCTTGATTAGATATACATGTAGTGGAGACCCTATAGATACAGTACATGTAACTGGTATGTATTTGTTACAGTATTTTCTGTCAAAATTGTATAACAAAAATACCTAATCCTGTGCAAATTTAAAAAGGAGTCCACGCAAACTGACAAAATAAAAAAACACTATCAATCAACAGATCAAGGGAAAAGTTAATCTGCTATATATACATGTATGGAATAGGCATGTAGTTAGATTTGTTTACCCCTTTTCAGTCCATGTAAATTTATGAGAATAGAATTTTATATTCTGGATTTCCTTAGATTTCAATTCTTATTTCATATTAATTTCCCATGTGTATATATGTTATGCTTGTAGTTTGAGGAAAATTATCAAAATAGCTTGACCAAGATTAAACAATAACTGCGATCATGAATTAGGCCATTTTTGTCTTGTCTGCAACTGATTGTATGGTGTACATGTCTGTCTGGGCAGGGTTCATCTTACCATGACCTGATATTCATAGCTCATTAGTCAATAATAAGTTTCATATTTTGGTCTGTCCCCCCTTCCCTGTTCTGGGAAAAATTTGGTTGATTATATAGGGAATCACTGAAGCTTGACCAGAGCGGGCCCCTTCTTAGGCAGTCAGTGGGCCCCCACTTATGAAAATTTCTGGATTTGCCACTGTGTTTGTTGTATACTATACAAGCTATAATCAATTAACAGATCAGCTATATTTGGGGTAGGCAATGATTGTAAGGTGCACATGTCTGTCTGGCTTGATTTTTCTGACCTTGGCATTATTTGCTTGACATTATTTTTTTCATGGATCATTGGTTATGTTAAGTTTATATATCATACTTATAGTAAAATTATATCTTTAGCATGTTTAGAACAATCAACATAAAATATATCATGAATAGTAAAACATGCAAGACATTTCAGCGTGTTTACTCGTCTCTTGTGATATCTATTTTATATAAATTTATACTGAGTGCCAATAAAAACACAATTCTGGTCCCCTTACACATGCTACAGCACATGTAGTTATGCCCAGCAACAGTCGAGGGGGAATAATATCAATTTACCCCTGTCCGTCCGGATGAGGATACTTTGTTTGTCTGGCTATCTCCTACAGTTTTGGAGGTACAACTTGTTAACATGGCAAAGTTCAACCATAATGAACCGCCACACCTCCGTTGCAGAGGTAATTAAAAAATGTACAGTCTGCTAGATTATCAATTTTCAGAGCATTTGGAGTTTTGATTTATACCCCTATGGAAGCTAATCACAAATTTCTTAACTGGAAAAGTATCAGGTAACCAGATGTTTCCAGAATGCATAGAGCCATAAACATACTGTGTTAGTATTGTAATTTAAATGGGGCTAAGACATGTAGGAAGGGGGCTTGAAAATGATGAGTTGTGTTTCTATAGGCACTAAGTATACTCAGGCCTCGACAATAACGCTTGTCCGATTGTCCGGTACCAGAGGAAAAAAAGGTCGGACAAGTAAAAGCTATATCAAGCTTGTCCGACGGGACAAGTAAAATTATTCTGCAGAAAATAAATTTAATCCAACTTTGATGAACAAAGTAATTATAAACAAAAAACAAGAAAAGAAGATAAAAACAAGTATTAATTTGACATGTTTACTTGCAATCTATACTTTAAAACTGATCTTTTGTCAGGTACTTTTTAAGAGGTTAAAGGCATACTTTTCTCGGAAACCAGTCTTACTGATCCGAATCAGCGATGTGCTTTGTAGATAAGGTAACTTTTCAAGACAGTTGGTCACCAGCTGGAAATGATTCGGCTCCAAATTTAATAGACAGTTTGGCACCGTAGGAGACATATTTAATAGACATGATTAATAGACAGTTTGGCAATGCAGAAGACATTTCGGGACCAAGACAAATCAGTACCTCGTTTTCCGACCTTATTCTGTTGCTTTATAATAAATATCATACCAGTAATTTTTTTATCAAATAATATTTTTTAAATAAAAATGAAGAAATTATGTACCATAAAATTCACAAAATCATATTTGATCATATGTAGAAAAAAAACAATACTTGCAATACGGTGACATATAGTTGTTAATTTCTGTGTCATTTGGTCTCTTGCAGAGAGTTGTCTCATTGGCAATCATACCTCATCTTCTTTTTTTTATTGATTGCATTTGAAAAACTTTTTTCAACTTAAAAACCAAGATACAAATCCAATGAGTGTACATTGACAGGCCTATCAGATGGTGTCTCATGTGCAGAGTCTGATGAGACTTTGGCATTGAAGAAAGCTAGAACCTAAGTCCTGTGACATGACTAGATTCAGTTGTTCTCAACTCATATTTTTGAAAAGTATTTCAAAAGATATAAATCAAATTCTGTTCTATTATTTTAATTCATTTTGTTCCTTGAATCAACTTAAAATGCAAAAAAGGTTATTATAAAGATTTTTTTTGGACAAGTTACAATTTCATTTGGACAAGTAAGTTTTGGTATGTACTTGTCCTACTGGACAAGTTGAAAAAAAAGTTATTGTAGAGGCCTGATACTTATATATATAGGTAATGTGTAGTACACATACATGAATATGGTTTGTTTTCATAAGTAATTTATTATAAAATTTGACATGGTATGATTGCCAATGAGACAACTATCCACCAGAGTCCAAATGACTGAATATTGACAACTATAAATGATCATATGTACAGCTTTCAACAATGAGCAAAACTGATACAGCATAGCGAGCTACAAAATGTCCTGAAACAGGGTTGGCAAAAACCTGGGTTTTATGAGTATTGCCCAGCCCAGTGGGAATTACTGGCTTTTACTGGGTAAATCACCATCAAATCACCAATTGATCATGTCTGAGCTTAAAATACAAAACAGTTATCTCCTAATTATAAGTTTGGTAAATCATTGGAGATTAAATTGGTGTTATCTTTTTTGCTTGACTACAGAAACAAACATGCTGATTTGATTATATTACAGGAACTGTAGGAAGTATTCAAAGAGTCTGATTGCTAAGTATGCATTACAGGATTTTATCATTGGAGCAACATCTTAAGAGGTGAAGTGTAAATGTATGAAGGAATCCTTGGGTACAAATAGCAATTATATGCAGAAGAGGACTCTTAAACATTATTAACAGACATGTAGTCATAGTAGTGGTGTTTTCAAGAAACGTAAACCAACTGGAATTAACAATTGTGTATATTTTTTCAACCACAAGTACTTTCAGAATATAATACAATTCAAATTCAAATTATTGTGTCAACATACAAGTTACAGTAAAAAAATGAAAATGCATGTTTTAAAATGAATTTTATATAAAAAAATGAAATAACAAGAATTTTTAGCTTATTGTGCAGCCAAACTTTGAGATCTTTTAATGGTATATGCCTGTTGTTTGTCAACATTTTGCCTTAACCTTAAGATCAGTGTTAAAATGAGAAAAAAACTATTTTTGCATATATATGAAATAAGAAGTAAATGGTTGTAAATTACAGAGAGCCTTTCAATATGGTACATTTGTATATCAGCTATATTTCACAGAACTTTCTATTTTAGTTTATTAGTACAATGAGACATGAGGTATACATCAATCAGCCAGCAATATAACAACAAAAACACCTGAAAGGCATTAAGGTGCTAACATGCAGTCCTCAACAAAAGACAGGTGTCTAAAAGATATGCCATGATCTATTTAATTGACCAGAGGCTATACAAAAAATTACAATATGAATCAAGAATAGCCATCAACACCAAATTCTCTGAATATTTTTTTTTTATTAAGACGAGATTTTTGACAACCACTGAAAAGATTTCTGGCTTTAAGCAGGTACATGAATATGTGGAGTGGTGAACTAGTTTTTTTTCTTCAAAACCTTCTTAAAGAGAATTGGCATCTTTTGCAAGTAGGTCTTTTCCATAATGTGATTGGTTTGTGTCAAAACTGATGACCACACAATATGACTTATACAAACTTAATAAAAATCAACTCAAATGAAATATACATCAGTGCAATCAACTTCTATAAATGACCACAGTCCATAAATCATTTACAAAAAAGGATTGAGACTCAACACAACCAAAAAAGTTCTAGGAGTGAACTATTAGGTGCCCTGGATATAATTTATATCCTGTGATGCATTTGCTTGCCTTCTTTGTTTAAGACCAAAAAATTTTGGAAACCAAAGAAAGTAAAACAGAATGGAAGTATGAACACATGGTCCAGACCAAGAAGAATATTTTTCATGTTTATATATATATCAAAACAGAATTTGTATTAGATTAGAATTGACTTACATAAATAAGCTCAAATCCTGTGAAATTAGTGTGATTGAGGCTGAATTCACTTTAATTTCATTAAAAAAAAGAAGCTCGATTCATGTTAATTTCACATGAAAAGTTCACGTGAATTTCACGTGAAGGCTCAATTCACGTGAATTTCACATGAAAAATTTCACGTGAATTTCACGTGAATCAGTATTTCACGTGAAAATCACGTGAGTTTACCGTGAAATTCACGTGAAATATTTCACGTGAATTACGCGTATAAGCTCGATTAACGTGAAATTAACGTGAATTTGTTCACGTGAAATTCACGTTAATTTCACATTAAATTCACGTGAACAAAATTTGCCTGTGTAGAATGTACTTTATATAGATATAAGACGATGAGGTATGAGTGCCAATGAGACAACTCTCCATCCAAGTCCTTTTACCTTTTGTTTACAAACTTCCGTGGCGTCATTTTGAGAGAAGATAACTCGTGTAAAAAATCCATAAGCTCAATAGGTTATTTACCAGTCAATAACAGAATAATTCATCGCAAATTTAAATGAATGCTAACCAAATGATATACTTATTGATACTGTATGAGTTTTTTCAACAACCATATTTGTTCTCCATCTGATTATGATGGGTTTTTTTACGTCATTGGAAAAAAAGTCTCATAAATTAGGTGTTATGTATTTTGTCCTCGTCCAGTCATATTGGGTCTTGATCAGCTGTATTCATATGAAAACACATATTTAATAACACTATATAATTGTTCAGACAACAATATTTATCTCTCAAATAGTATCCTACATTGATATAATAATTAAAACAATTGAATAAAGATTTTTGTGATTGCATTGGTTCGATATGACTAAGCTGGCTTTAACGTAAACAAAAATTCTTGACTTACTTTAGAACAAATATCAACAGACACAACCGCAAGGGTTTGGCGCCATCAGATATGTTTAACACCGTAACATTCGGTATGCCTGTTTCATTTAGAGACTTGTAAATCAGTAGTTGTCATTTGTTGCTGTATATCATATTTGTTTTCAGTTTAATTTATTGGTCTGTACATAAAACATTGTCAATCAGGCCGTTAGTTTTCTCGTTTGAATTGTTTCATATTTGTGATCTTGGGTCATTTTATAGCTTTCTCTAGGGTTTTGGTCATTGTAGAAGGTCTTACTGTGACATATATTTGTTTAAGTGTACGTCATTGAATCTCCTGTTGATAGTTGTTTCATTGGCAATCATATCACATTTTTATTTTCATAAATCAATTTTTAAAAGTCGATATGTGTTTTTTGTCGATTTGATGATTCAAGTTTTTGTTCTTTCATTTGGAATGTTTTACATTTAACATATTGGGGCCTTTTATAACTTGATATGTGGAATAAATTTCGCTTATTGTTAAAGGCGGAACAGTTATCTGAAGTTGTAAACGTTAACCTTTTTTTGTTTCTGGTGGAGGGTTGGCAATCATATTACATCTTTTTCATTTTTTTTAAAAACGTGTCAATTAGGGAAGAAACAATCAAAGATGCTCCGAAAAGTTGTGTGTTCCTGCTTTTCGTATGGCAGGACATTGTACAGTGACAGCGGGCAAATAATTCATAAGTCAATACAATATTCATAAAATGTTAACCTTATTCATAAGTATACAGTCATAAATGAAGATTTATTGTCCTTATATTCAACAACAATAATTTAACACATGATCTTTTTCTTTTATAGTTGATATGAAACTTGTTGTAAACTGGAATGAAATGAATATAAATGTTTAACGAATTTCACGAACAACTTTCTTGAAAAATATCAGATTGATATATTATTATATCAATTTTTATGGTAATGATTAGCAAAGCTTCTCTCGTTGATTGTCGATCGTTTATCATCTTCCAGTGGCAGAGTGAGAGAGAAAGAGAGAGATGAGAAGGCATGAATAGAACACTTACTGGGTTGTAGACGCGTTTTTGAACTGCACATGCGATGGTATCTTTTGCGAATCAATATCCATAAAACGACAATTAATAAGGTCACCAAAGCTACGCTGAGGACAACAATTCTGTAATGATATAATAGAAATATATCAAACAATTTTAGTGCAAACATTAAAAACGTAATCAAACTGATTGAATTTTTTTATTATTTAACTACATTGTTTTTCATAAATTTTGTAGTTTGAAGGAATCGTATTGATTGTCCCTTTGGTTATGCAATTGTATAAACATGTCTTTGTCATTCATAATATTGTGATGTAAACATTCGTTAATGTAAGAAAATTCGTAAACACACATCAAAAGTAGTATATTATGTACAGATCACAATTCTTGTGTCTTTGTCCAATCGTTTAGAGCATTAAGCTGACTTTGTTATCCATCAACGGTGTCCGAAATAAGAAGCAGATCTTCAGCGTATAGCAAACAGCTAATCATATCGTCACCGACTAATATAATGCGCCACAACCGAGTCCGTTAATGAGTGGTACCAATTCATCCATAAACAACGCAAAAAGAGCGGGCGCGATGATGTCACCTTGACGGACACCTGAATCAACTGAAAACCATTCAGTAAACATCGTAGGCGATAATCGTACTGCACTTTGTAGCTTTGAGTAGAGACACCTAATTACTTTGTACATATTTCCATACACACCCACGGCTAAAAGTTTATTCCAGAGTATTGTATGATTCACTGAATCGAATGCCTTGCTGAAGTCAACGAAGCACAAAAAAAGTGTCCATGGTATGCAGTTGTCTGTTTCGCAATATTGTACACAGTGAAAAGATATGGTCGAACCATGATCTAAGCCTCCTAAATCCGTTTTGTTCCTCGCTTAGAAAGTTATTGTTTTCGAGATGATTGATGAGCATTCCGTTCAATGTCTGACTAAATGTTTTTGCGACAGTTGACATCAGACCTATACTTCAGTAATCTATTGGATTTCGGAAATCTTTGCCTTTTTTTAACAGAGGACATATAATGCTTCGTAACCAAGGATCTGGAACAATTCCATAGCTAAAACATACATTGAACAGTTCGTGAAGGATTTTTGTCAGTATATCGCTTTTCAATATTTCATTAGGTAAATTGTCTATTCCTACTGCTTTGACATTTGTTTAACTCATCAGCGCACGGTTTGTTTCATCAAGAGAAATAGGTTCGTTCAATTCAGATGTGCTCGTGTTGTCAATATATGTCTGATCATTTAAAGTGAGGTTTTCATATTCACGCTCTAGTTGTGAATTAAGGTTTTGAAGTTGCTCAATAAATTCAGAATCAACTTTTGGTATATGGCTTTAAATTCTGTTCATACATTGACTGTTACTTTTCCAATGGAATAAAATGGGGATAAGAAAAAACAATTTCAAGCCAGATAAGTTAAGCACCCATGATTATAGGGAAATGTAAATGGATTGTTTTTTTTTTTTTTCGAATGTCAATATAACTACTTAGTAATTGTAATTTAATTAAACTATACCAAATACAATATTACACTACAAACAAACGGCAACAAAGCTTATTCAATGCACAATTGACCAATAAGCATAAAAAGACAACTCATTAATTGACGAAAGAATTCGGCGTTTAATTATGACGTCATCGTAAAACTACAGGTACCATTTACTGCTATTTTATTTGTTTTGTTGTAACAGACACAAACTGAATTCTATAATGTAAAAAGAGTTGGTAAATGTTTGCACTTCAGTGTTTCTGTTGTTCCGTTGTTTTCCTCTTATAGTTGACGTGTTTCCATCGGGTTTAGTTTGTAACACGGATTTGTTTTCTCTCAATCAATTTATGACTTTCGAACAGCGATATACTACTGTTGCCTTCATTTTACTTTTAGGAACAATCTCGAGGAGTTGGTAAGTGTTTACATGCTTTCAAAATTAAGCTTTCATGTTGGAGATTAAAGGGTGCACATGATGTAGAAAACAAAACCGCAAATAAAACAGGCGTAAAGAAAACATTAAAGGTCAAATCTTCATTATGGTCACCAGGTCCGAAGTAAAAATTTGATAAACATTAAATACATTGAACTCGTAAACGCACGAAAAATTTAAACTACCGGAAAAGTCGTTCTCGTTTAACCGATGACATTAAAAGCCATTTTAATGAGAGTACAGTAACAATTGAAACTTTATAAACAGCAAACTGTCCTTGCTAATTACTTTGTACGAATCAATTCCCAATCATGTTTAAACGAAATTCTAGGTTTTTTTTTTTGCATATTTTAACCTTTATAATATTTTGATTGTTACATTTGAAGAATTGAACTTAAGTTTTAAAATATAACATTTAGAATAAAGACAATGGAATTTTCGGTGTGCAATTTACCAAAATTGAAAATACACAGTACAAGTGACAGGAGGGGGTTTGGTTGGAGGGGTTGGGTTATACGATTTAGTTCTTGGGAATATGTGTTTGTTCATTTTAAAGAAACTATTACTTTTCAAGAACATACAAGAGCAAAAATTTGTTTTTGAAACTCATTGTTGAATTTAGTGTATCCCTTTATAGTCAATGAAAACATTTTTTTCAAACTTCCTTTCCGTAGAATATGTTTTTCTATAAACTTTATAAAAAAAACCATGATTCCTCTTCCACAGACAAAAAAAAAGAATAGTTGGTGCCTAACTGCTACATTCTATGAAATGTTCATTTTTTATGCCGATAGTTTACTCGTGTTAATAATTTGTGAGTACAGGTAATTAAAACTGGTATATAGTTGAAAACAAATTTAATGTGGGATGATCAATTTCTTGAGACAAACATTTGTGGGGATGATCAATTTCTTTGGACAAACATTTGTGTTTCGACGAAAATACCAAATTTCAACAGGAGAAATATCTTAATTATTTTATTTTTGTGCAAAAGGGGGGGGGGGGAATCAATATTGAATTTATTTTACTCTTACGTTGAAATGAAAACATTCTTCTGAAACAAATATATTTCTTTCTCAAGAAAATTAAAATCAAACAAGTCTAAAACAACATGTCTCCTGAATTTTCGTGAAGTATTTTTTGTTAAATATACATTTCAATTCGGATGAAATCTTATGAAGTTATTATGACATGACGAACAAAATATTTGATATAATTTTTCATGATTATAACCCACTTCACGGATATTTTTCGTACTATGAAAAACTATCTAGACCTTAACCAGAAATAACATATGACATGCATTTATCTTACCTGCTGTAAATATAGTAAAAGAAACAACGATTTTCACATAATTGTATAACTTTTAAGCTAACAAAAACTATTTACTAATACTAATCTGCCACAATTTCACAATATTGACCTAATCTAGATATAAGTGGTGAAAATTACAAAGTTAACATTTGCAGCAACAAGTCCAAATTTCAAACAAATTTTACTAGGTGTTGGATAAAATATCTAGACAAAAACAAAACCCATCAAAGATACCAGGCTCATTATTGTGTATACCAGCCCCCCGTTTTATCTACAATGAATCATCAGTGAAAGAGAGGCGAAAGATACCAGGTGGATATTCAAACTCAAACGTTGAAAATAAACTGACAACACCATGGCTTAAAAAGAAAGAGACAAACAGACAAACAATAGTACACAAAGTACAACATAGAAAACTAAAAACTAAGCAACACGAACTCCACCAAAAACTGGGGTTGATCTCAGATGCTCCGGAAGGACAAGCAGATCATGTTCCACATGTGACACCCGTCGTGTTGATCATACTAGTACAAATCCGGTAATAAGTATAATTCGGTAAGTTAAATTCTTGAAAAGGGGAATGATTGTAGTACGACATCAGGAACATATCCGCTATCATTTGTGAAATGGATATTTCATAACGGTCAACCAACTCTTGATGACGTCCGTAAAATTTACGAAGGGATGGTTTCAACTTTAGGAACTCTTGGTTTAATAGCTTCCTTGTGAGCAGTAACCCTCTATCAACGATATCATGATAGGAAATACAAGCCCGGGAATATCTTTATAGAGGAAAATAAAGTCAAAGGATACTGCTAATTTCTTTTCTTTCTTCCTAAGTGACGCTCGAATAAAAAAAGTTAAAAGACCAGTTAGAAAGTGATGAGCATTGGGAACATAATTGTTAGGTACAAAATGACACACAGTTTACTTACATTATAGTCATTTTTGCATTGGTCAATTCTTCAATTTTCACTGGTCGATAGAAATCTGAAATTAAGAGAATATGACCATGATGAACAGACATAAAACGTAAAAAAGACATGGACAGCAGGATTGGTGTTTAACGTCCAGTGACAAATATTAACTCTGCTATGTACTAGACTTTGGCGTGACCAGAGTGTTGATCTTGCTTACGAACACTTACACTCAAATCGAGCTCGTTACGATATGACTGCATAGTCATCATTTTAACCTTACATAATAAACTACAGAAAATTTTGTCTGGTTTAGAGATCGCATATGAAGTGAATAAAACAAAACAAACACTTGATGGAAAAAAGTGTTTATCAAAATAAGTCCTAATTTTAATTTTCCCAACAAGATATCCTAAATTAAGTGTTTATCGGTCTATAGTGGTTTAAGTTAAATAAGTTGTTACTTTCAATATTCTTCCCTTAGTTTAATTATTTTGTATATACATTGTATCATAGGTCAAATTTATTTGTTCAGTGTAATTTGTCCTTTGATTGAGTTAAGCTATTTCAGTTGATATTTTATAGTGTGTCTTTCTATGATGTGATGTTACACTATTGTTTCAGAAAAAGGGTGAAGGTTTGGTACCATTAAAACGTTTAAGCCCGCTGCATTTGTTTGCACCTGTCCTAAGTCAGGAATCTGATGTTCGTTAGTTGTCGTTTGTTGATGTAGTTCATAAGTGTTTCTCGTTTCTCGTTTTTTATATAGATTAGACCGTTGGTTTTCCCTTTTGAATGGTTTTACACTAGTAATTTTTGGGGCCCTTTATACCTTGCTGTTCGTTGTGAGCTAAGGCTCCATGTTGAAAACCGTACTTTGACCTATAATGGTTTACTTTTATAAATGTTGAAATGGATGGAGAGTTGTCTAATTGACACTCATACCACATCTTCTTATATCTATTAAAGTTTAAAGTAGAATATCAAATAATGAAGATTAATTAATGCAAAGAACATTTACCTTAAATGGTTTCCCATTAATAATAATTATTGTTGATAGAACATTCCACCTCCAGACATTTTGGCAGGCTACGACATGAAGTATAATAGACCTTTCAAGAAAATTCTTGGTTTTGTTTGCGCTGATGAAAGTAATATATAATTTTTTTTGCTCATATTAACATAATTTTGTAAACGATTTTAGTAGATCCATCCGGGTTGTTATTTGATTTACCTGAATGCGTACTACTTTTGATGAATTCCAATATCAGTGTAATGTCATCTGAATAAATAAATTTGAGGGTTATGTGCCGACGTTGGTTCAATTTGATCATGTATACGCAAACCTGAAAGTAAACAGAGACTGGCAAATATATTAACACGCCTGGGACGAGATGCTCTTACTGGATTATTATATCACATATTGATAGCATCACTCGTCATTCCTATGGCGTATCAATTTAATTTGTACTCGAAACCAACACATTTATATCGTAAATGAGAACAACTTACCTACAGGCATTTGTGATGTAGTGGGCAGAGACGTACTAGGTGTTTCAGACAGTGTATTGGTTGTTTTTGACGGCGTCTTTACTTCATTTGCGTCATCGAATTCCCTGAATCGAAATAATATATTGCATATTATTAGGAATCGTAGTTGTTGGACGGTAGACGTCAATAAAATATCATTCCAAAGCAAAAGAATGAGAAAGACAATGATTTCGAACACATATGTTCATGTACAAAACTTTATGACATGGACTTACATTATCCGACGACCGAGAATGCAAAAAAACATTTCTCCCTGGTGACAATTTTGCCCCTAGATTTGAATTTAGACTGTGTCACTATGGTCGCATAGATCAATATTTCTGAAAAAAGTGCTTATCCAGAAGACCTTCTGCTGTTGTCTGTTCTATGGTCGGGTTGTTGTCTCTTTGACACATTCCCCATTTCCATTCTCAATTTTATTGTCAGTACTGGACACAGGACAAACCATCAAACCCGACTTATTCTTAATTATATACTTACTTACAAAAACATCAACACAAGGTTCAGACAGCCTTATTTTATACAGGCACAGAATTTGATTCGATTAACCAGATTTGCGCACACAAAAACTCCTAATTTGTCAATTCTGACAATTTGCGGTAAAATCAAAACACACTATACAAAGTTTGCACGGTACACATAGAAACAGGATGTTCACTAACTTGAACAAGGCAATTAAAATCAGAACATAACAGGTTCTGTTTTTTTAAGATAATTTCTGATAATGGTTAAACACAAGCAAAACATATGAAGTCACTTGTTCCTTCTGTTATATTATCATATTATGTTTTGCTTACAATTATTCTTTTTATCATATGTGATAAGCTTGCTCTGTATGTATGAAATTGGTAGTATTTCAAGTGTTTGCGTATGGCATTTTTCATCGTTGAATGTCAATATGTCAATGTCATGGTAAGCAATCAACGTTAAAAATGGAAGGATATCAAACAAAATATATATCCAGACAAAAGTTATAGAAAAGAACACTTTGGTCAAAAGAAATATCCCAACAAGAAAAACAAGGGTTGTCTTATAACAAGAACCTCATCAAAAACATTGGATGAAACTAGATGCAATAAAAGTTTGAGTAGTCGTTCTTTATCACTGGAATTCGTCGTGGTTCTTATAGCAAGTATATTGACGCTTCAATGATGCTTCAACGAAATCGAAAGTTAACAATGATAAATTTAAAATCGCCTTTTTGTGTCATAAAGTTTAGTAATCAATTTACCTGTGGTTACAAGGAGTAATTGTAGTACTGTAATAGAAATATAAAAACAACGTATCGTTTTAAACAGCTATGTGTTCATTCATGAATTTTAAACAATTTGTATCTGGCTTGATGTTTATCAATTGAGGTTATAACATCCGATAATACCTACAATGATAGAAGGCTTGGTGTTGGTGCCCCCTTGTTGTCATCTGCCTTTCTCTTGTCTTATGTCATTCATCCGAGAAATTTGTGGAATCATAGTGTGACATAACATGGACATTGTCGTATCCGACTACCATAGTAAACATTTGTTTTCCTTTCTCCTTCTTAAACCCTGAATAGAAATAAGGTTAATGTTCTTGGACCATGCATGCATCACTTGTAGTTCGAATTCAAACTCAGTCAGAATGTGCGCCGCACTTAAGTTGCAGTGTGGTCGCTTATGCACTAATGTCCTATCTTAGGGTAAGGTTTGAACAATCGAAATCATTTTCTTTATATTTCATACACTTTTCTATCTTATGGCATATTATAGCTTGTTTGTACAGAATGGATTTCAATAATTCTTGAAGGCGTTACGCTGACCTGTATTTTTTATACCTCTCGTCTTTCTGTTTTTGATGTTCTATTGTCTCATCGGCAATCGCTTTTCTCACTTATCACACAGAAACACACATAATTATGTCCCGAGCCCAGAAGCCAGCACTTTTGTGTTGACATGAATTAATATCGGTATGGTCAGATTTATAAATTAACTGTTTACAAAATTTCAAATTGTTAGAAATACTACGGACGCTCTACCACAGGGATAAATTTCCTTAGCTGTATTTGACAAAACCTTTCGGAGAGTGGGGTTAATCATATCTGCATGGCGTAATGTGTTCTTAAATCAGTTTAGTTTTAATAATTTTTGATATCTTACTGTTTTATTATTTATGCTTAATCAAAAGCCATTTAATGATCAATACCAAAATTAGCAACAACTAATAAATCATTAAATACATGTTTGAAACGTCTACTGCGATAACCAATATTTCACTAAAAACAACTGATAAACCAACAATTAGTTTTACAGCTGTTGTGTTAGAAAAACTAACGTTTAGTGAATTAGTTTAAACAACCGCTACCGTGTCCGCAGAAAAATCTTAAGAAACAAGTACAGATACTCAAAGTAAGTTGTACATAGTTTACCTAAACATTGTGTTAATACGCCTATGTGGTCAATATGTGAATTGATTAAATGCACGTCAATAAACCTAATGGCTTCCTGATATCCTTGGTATCACCAACCTAGTAGTACGCAACATTGTGTCGATATGATATATTATTGATATACAAACTTTGAACTTGAATTGTTAGAAATACTTAGGATTATCTACCCTAGGAATATTTAACCGTAAAATTTGTATTTTGTAAAATATTAAGCTCAATCTCTCCAATTTTGTATTTCATTTGGTCTTTTCAACTTTTTTGCTTCGAGCGTTATAGATGAGGTTTTTTTTGTAGACGAAACGCGCGCCTGGCGGACTAAATTATAATTTTGGTAAATATGATGAGTTTTTATATTATAAAATCATTTATATGATACAGTTGATTTCAATAATTGTATTGTAGTATAACAGTTAAAGTTTCAACATTAACATAGTTAAAGCATCATTCCAGGAATAATCAAAGTAAAGAAAAATCGAAACAATCAGCCAATCTGTGATAAGCTATATAACTAAACAAAGGTACAAATTCGTCTGTGTTGAAATGGTTATGAAAATAATAATATAACAACCGCAATACAGGGAAACATTCACGATTACGATATTAAAGCAATCGCAGAGATACACAGATAATCACAAAGAGACGAATAATTATGTTTTGAAAATTCCATTATGGATTTGAAAACATAAAACAGATATGATAATGATAAATCAGCTTATTACATTGGTAGCAATGAATTATATTGATTTCCAAGTCAAATAAAAACTGATAATTTCACATGTGAAATAAACGTGGTTATTTCACTCTCTGACGTCATACAACAATAGGCGTTGTCAAGACGTCGATAACGTCGGATCAAAACAAACTGTGAATGCGTAGAAAAAAGATATAGTTCCTTACATTTTCTACATTGAGTTCATTAAAAAAAAGTCATTTGCCAATGTAATAAAAAGAATAACTAATCAAAGAATTCAAATATCGAAAAATATTCAACTCGTGACCGAACAACACTGATAATTAACTCATGCGCTACGCGCATTCGTGAATTAATGTGTTGTTCGGTCACTCGTTGAATATTTTTCTCTATTTGAATTCTTCGATTAGTTATTCTATAATTAATGAGCAAAAAAAAGTCATTTTCGTAATTCACTTTTTTCAACCGAAAATAAATTATGTGTGTACTCTTAGCTTCTGATTTTCTCACTACATCCTGAGACCAACCATGAAAAATAAATACGTATGTCTCAAATATTTGCAATAAAATCATTTTGTCATTGGCAACAATCCTAAGGGTATTTTTGCCTGAGAGAGTTTGAATACATTATCTATAAACTGGAAATGAGCACACAACAATTTTTTATCAATTCAAAGATATTAATATCAACAAGAATATCCTCCACGATTGCCAATTAGATAACTACCAATGAGAGACCAATAGATCAAAGGATCAAAAGTATGGTCCTCAACAAATTAGCAATATCCATACAGTATATTATGATATAAAATGCCAAGGATTGGAAAAAAGTGAACTAATTTTAACGAGAAAACTTGCGGCCTGATTTATGCTTATACATTAAATGAAAATCAAACATTACAGAAAGCAACCAACGACAAATTTCAACATACAGGTAAAAGAAGACTTTTCACTTCGTTTGTTTCGAATTCAAGCAAAACCAGGTCCACACAATTATTGTTGTCAGTTATTATTATCATTTTTTAGTTGTTGTTTGTAGGTTTTTGTGGACAGTTGTATTTTGTCTTTCTTTCGTTTTTCTTTTAGCCATAGTGTTAGTAAATCTGTTTTTATTTGAATCATGTGTTTTAATATCCCCTTGGTATCTTTTACCTCTTTCTCTATCTTAGTTTTAAAACTAAGATAAAATATACTGATGCAGTCTTTACTTTGAAAAACCAACGAAATGTACTTGAAACCTTATTTTTCTTTTTTAAATGACCATGATACCTCATTAAATACATATATTTTGGTATGTACGTACAATTGTATGGGTGCTCAAATTTCTTATTTTCCCACTATTTACACCTACATTTGAGATAACAAAAGTAAAAATAATCGTCAGTGAGATCGAAAACAAAGAAAATAAGAAATCATATGAAATTAAGAGTTCAATACACCGTCATCAACAACAAAAAAACAAATGTCACTACATGTACAGCTCAAAATCGCACTAAAACAGTTGTGACAAACACATCAATTCAACCTTTCAAAAATAAGCTATCAACAGATAATACCCTTAACTAAAAACAAACGGAGGTGCGAAAAGACAACACCTCTATGGTTTAAATACTTGGTGCAGACACATGGTGGGGTCATATTATGTTTTATTGTATTCCAACTCTCCCCTTCGTTTTCTCGTTCCTTTAAATAAACTTATGTACGCTTAAAATGTACTCGAAAAATTATTTCAAAAACACTTAACACTTTCATACTGGAAAATATAATGCGACCTTGAATAGAAGTACAACAATATGATTGCAAACAACACAATATCAAAGAATGATAATAATTACTAAAAGCACGTTCAAATAATTTAACTATTGGTAAGAAAACATACCGTGCTATATTGTAAAATCAGAGTAAATTTCATACAACGACTGCATTAAAACAAAAGAATGACATGATATTTTGGAAATAGTACATCCGTACATGTTTTTTTACTGTTATATTCATCCTTTCTAATGAGGATTCTCTAAGAATTTTCAATACATACAATGATTCAATGATATTTACCAAATTCTTAACTAAATGTTGGAGGAATTAAAT